AGCTTGATGCTGTTTCTGATTTGGAAAAAATACGAGATTTTAGTTTTACAAATGTATATATTGTATTAGTTATTTTCTTCCCATAGGATACAAAGCAAATAAAAATATGACCTCAATACATGCAAATTACAGAAAATGAAACTTCATCTATGTTCAGAGTATCATAACACATCACTAAAATTTCACTTTTTAACAATGTTTTTAAAATCGAAACCAAAAAAATCAGTGTTGGTAACAATTGACTTCTCTGAGTATTCCTCTATAATTTCTATCGGGTACTGCGCGGTGAGGTTTTAATCACAACACATAAGGATATTTTAATCTCCACCTTAGAATTCTGATTCAAGGTAAATAAACACCATTTGCTTCATTTGTTCTCAAATTGAGTCGTCAAGCACGAAAGCTATCACATTTTTATTGCTGAAACCTTCCGTCTTCCTCTCTTCTTGCCCGTTCAACTCCCACAAAACCCACTAAACCATGAGATGTAAGACCTTGAAATCGTTATTAATATAATTTCTTTGACTATACATTTTCTATAAAAAAAAATTCTACAAACTTTACAATGAAGAGAGGAAGACGTACGTAAATTTTTGGATCTTGAAGATCGGAATTTGCTTTTCTATTGCCTTGTTCATCTTTTTTCATAGACGTTCCAACTACATTTTTTTATCCTTTTGATGTTGGTTGTATTTGAAAAACATTCATATGTGTACTTAAAGAGAACAGAGCATGCAAAAGTCGAGTACATTAGTTTAATATTGCATCTTTCAATCGATATTCGGCATGAATCGAAACTACAATGTTACAGACACAGAGATAAAAGTTTTATTTTTCACTGTAATTCAACCTGAAACAGCTTTAACTTCGAGGCTGGAGTTGCATAAAGTTTAGATAAAACAACATAAGTATTACAATGTTACAAAGACATGTGAAGTCTTCTTGCATTCATATGATTCGCTTCATTCGCTTGTACTTCCTCGGAGGTTTAGCCTTGAGACCATATTCTCCGTCCTCTGCAATAAAATGATTACAAATGACTCAAAAACACATTTGTGAATAGATTAATATGCATTATAAATGATGAAACACTAACCTGCTCGGAATGTGACAAATACTTCCCATCAAATGTCACGACCACACGGTTGTTACCATCCACTCCTTTAATTTTGTCCACGGAACAATAGAAATCTATCGCCGACATGCTAAAAAAATACACACCATTAAAAGACCATGCTACACCCGCTCATATACTCTATTCGAGTCTACTTCTCAAGAAAATAAGCAATTTTAAGTTGGACAAAAGGGAGCAAATGATAAAAACTATGGTTCATTCAAGCGATGATCAAAACTCAGACTTTACAAACTAAGAAAATATATTGTATAATCCTCCACTATTAACCAAATATTAAGCATAATAAAACCTTACATGCCATCGCCAAAATCTTCGTTGATAATCTCCTTTATACTTTCACCGAAATGCATCACTGCTTCATTCAACCTAAAAACATATTTTTTTGTTTTCAAAAAAAAAATCCCAAAAATAGATTAAATTTCGAGAGCGCAACAAAATAAAACCTGTAGACAGTGGGTTCTTGGATGAGGTTGGGATCATAGGATCTCCACGGCGGAGTCATCATAGCGCCGATGAGTTCGTCGGTCAGACCTGGTAAAGCTTGGCGGAGCTTCGGGACTGTGTCGGGTTTGAGCTGGGCCTGACGACGGAGCAGCTGAGCAACATAGACGTTGGTGAGCCCTGTCTCCGTCGCTAATTGACTGTAAGTCTTGCCGGAGGCTGACTTAACGGCAAGAAGACGATTTGTAACGCTCTGCTTCGTCGCTGCTTCCATTATTGACCAGTCACTTTTCTCACTTCCTCGCTGTATTTAACACTGAACTTATGAATAATCGATATAATATGATTTAATTTTAAAAGAAAAAGAATCATACTTTATATAATACACCCATTGGTTCGATTTGTGAAGGCTTTCGGTTAAAATGATAGCTAGAAAAATATGTTAGAACGAC